CTTCTCTTCCTCCTTCTCTCTTTTTCCCTTTGCTCGAGTGCCTCTTTAATTAAGCGAAGCCCCTTAATTCGCTACCCGCTGTTTGTGTAATGTAAACGATTTGGAAATCGATTCAGGGATAATTGAGGAATTTTATGGAGTGGTTGCGTTGATCTCTTCGAAAAATAAAGATTTTGGTTGGAATCGTGGAACAATCGAGATGTCAATGTGATAGTTCATCATTTTTTTTTTTTCTCGAACGCTTTTAATTTTTTTATCTGTTTGTAGAAGGAATTTAAGGAATCTTAAGAATAGGAATTTAATGATGTTGATGTGTTTGAAAAATAAGAATTTTGATTAGAATTGTCTTGGAACGATATCTATAAGACATTTTTAATCTAATTTTTTAATAGAGTTTTTTCTTTATAAATGTCGATTAAAAATTTTAAATAATATTCATTTCTTTGAAAAATAACTATAGAAAAAATAAGTTTCAAATAATAAATGTTTGATGACTCGTATCCAATTTGAATAAAATATTTGGTAACAATCTTTAAATTTATTAACGAAAGAATCGTACTGTATAATCTCGAAAGATACGTATATAAATTTTGATATATTTTATGAAAATGTGGATTTTCATAATTTTTTCAGTATTTTCAATTCTTTACAATTTTATTTTGACTGAAAATATAAAATAATTAAAAGAAGACACTTGATTCCAAGCAATATATTTGGATAATTCATTATTAATATTAATATTAAAAATACGTTAGTAGCTGTTCAAATATTAATTCAATTTTGGATAAAAATGTGAATAATTGATAACACGCCAGTAAGACGGTTCGAATAATTAATTAATGTCTCGTATTAGAGAACTTTCAAGATACGTTTTAACTTCCAATCCAATCTAAGTACCTTTATTTATCGAAGCTTCGTAAAATTTTTTTTTTTTTTTCTAAAATCCTTCGATTTTAGAAAATTTACCATTCTCTGAAAAAAAGATATTATTCATACTTATCTTGATTAAATGTGTATACCAATTTTTGGTAATCTATAATTTTTACAGCTAGAAATATTTTTGAAAAATATTTCGCAAGAAATTAGGATTAATTGAAACAAAATTGATGAAAAATATTATCTCGACGACGTTATCGTTTAAACGCTGAAATTTCAATTCATACGTATTATTTTCATTAATTGGAGAAATTGAAGAAATAAACATTGAACATCGAGTCAAATTTCATCCTTAATTTAATAAATTGCTACAACGATATAATAAAGTTCAAGATCCTTAACTTTATGTACATTTGTAAAAAATTTTTTTTAAACGAAGTTATAATAATAATTGGCTAGTTTCTGTAATTTTCAAAACTACAAGTATCGTGTACTTTTTTTTTTTTTATGATTAATATACGTTTATACATATTCAAGATATACTCTCGTCACTCTTTCGTAAAAATGCTTACAGTTATGGTGTTATTACAACATGCGAGTAACGTGAAATGCAGTTTCGTGTGCCGTGATTCAAACGAAATATTCATCTCATGCGAACGAGTTTGCCGACAAAAGATACAAACGTATCCTTTCTTCCAATTCGCTTATTTCGAAAAATTAAATATATATTTATTTACGTATCTGTTGATAAGAACAATTAGACCGCGTTTCTTTTCTTTTACCTTTCTTCAACAATCATGGTCCCTTGGATAAAACAAATGCGTTTCTTGTTCATGGAGCGAACGTAACGATGGTTACAATACGATATATTTACATTCTCTCAAAGAAAAATATACATTCTTAAACAGATTAATGAAACAAAAAATAAAATTATAATATAACAAAATTTAAATTTTATTTCTCGTAGTGAAGAACTAGGTAATACAATATTGTTGACAAAAGATTATTATTTTAATATTATACGAGATAGTAATTTGAATAATTAATTTTAAAATTTGCGAAACACAATTAGCAAGCAACAGCGAATCGCTAAACTATGAATTAACGAACAAAACTAAAGAATCAGGCAGAGTTGAATCGCATTAATCCGTTGAAAAAGTGAAAAATTTCAAATAATTATTTATTAAAACGCTCGAATAACATTTATCTCTTATAACCTCGGCCGTTCGACACTATTTTTATTATTATTATTATTATTATATTTTAAACAAAAAATTATCGAAGTAATTTTATTAAATTTTGCGTATGACTGATTCAATCACATTACATCTCCTCCTCCACGATTTTTTATTATTTACTTTTCACAATAAAACTTTCTTGAAACAAAAGATATTTACGAAAAAGAAATTTGACGTGATTTAACAAAGAGTTAGTGAAAATTATTCGTTGGTTTTTCTTTAAAAGCGTTACCTAGTTCCCCGCCAACGCAAACGTACAATTAAACTTCGTTTCTTCGGTTAGACAGAATATTTCACTTTATTCGCTCTATAACCATGCTTTTACCCGGTCGACAGCGCAAAAGTATCCGTGGAAAGTGGCAGTAACTTCCCTCCGGTCGGAAATAGGCTGTAATCACAATGGTTTAGAGGGTTCCGTAAAAACAGGAGAGAATTAAGTGGTAATCAGTACGAATAGCCCCGCCGAGCTTTCGGATAAACTGTTCCGCCGTTTCTTTCTTTAATCCACCGTAACACATTTCTTCCTTAAACTCGTGCGCAACGCAACGTTGCACTCGATCCTTAACGCTGACGACATAACCTTCTTTTATTTTCGAAACAACATAAAACTCTCGACGCGAGCGCAATCGACGCGATCCACTGTTTCCTTTGTAATATTTATCGCACTATACATCCGTGAACATATCTGCGTACTCGAAACACCAATAACAAACTCCGCGATATCGATAAATTTACTCGTTGCGAAGAAAATAATTCCGCAGTTGTTGCAAGCCAAGACGTAACCTACATCTTTTTCTCGTGCTAATTTCTCTGCCGGTAAAGCAGAAAATCATAACGATCGTACGTATCGACGATGAAAATTGAAATCAATCGTGTTTAGTGAATGTTCGTCGCGCGAAATTCAAGCGTTCCGCTTTTAATAAAGCGAACGGATGAGACTAGAATGATGTAAAAAAATTATAAGTTCTTCGAAGTAAGGCAAAAATATATACGTACCTATATATACGCATATATTTACATTCCAACGTCCTTTCGTCTTAATTTTCATTTCTATTAATCACGTTTCTTCTTCCCCTTTTTTCCCTCCTCTCCCTAATCATTAATGAATAGGAAAATTCTTGCAAATCTATCTGATATGCAACGTGTTCCAAATTAATTCCAATTCTTCGGAATTACACCGTGAAATTAATATTCCACGTTCACATCGTGGATTTCGTTCCCTCTCTCGTAAATCCATTAGACAGCCGCAAGGGACGCGGAAGATTCTACGCTCGTTCTACATCGTTCTGGGTGGCGTTGATTCTATTTCCCGATGACAGGAACAGAAATGTAACAAGTTTGGCCGGGGAGGCAAGTCGCTTCGACGCTTATCCTCTTCGAGATAAAACGTATAAAATGGGCGAAACTTTTCGATGACGTGGAAAGAAGCGAGTTTGTTGTTGCCGCAACAGGACGAACGTGTTTCCAACGTGTTTTTATTTAATTAAATCCAGTGTCGATACCAGTCGTTCCGTCGTTACTCCACGATACGATCGTGAAATTACACACAGTGTGCGTGTATGTACACTGGATGGTCATGGCGATTCTGTTTCGAGATGGGATCTATGAGAGGAGGGGGGGGATTTTTTATAGCTATTTAAGGCGAGAATGAAGAATAAGGAAATTCGATTCGAAGGCTTTCGCGGTTTTCGAGTATTCAAAAGTGAAATTAATCAATTCTCTGGATGGAAGATTATTCTAATTGTGAAAATAAGCAAGAAATGTAGAATATATTTTTTTTAAAAATTGGTTCTCTGAAGGAAATCAAATTTAAAAGTTCATCGATTGTTTGAATCTTAACTCTTTGACGTATTATTTTTTATTTTTTATTTAAAAAATTTAATTCCATATTTTCGTTTTTATTTTAAGTCATATAATCTATTCTGACTCTCAAGATCAAATTTCGTCGAATTTTATTTTTCCTAGGTGAAAAAAGGATAAAAAATTCTTTTTCTCTTTTTTTAAATTAAATATAATATACGTGAGCGTAGATAGAATAATCGAGAGAAATTGATTCAATTTCAGAGCGGATGAGCGGATTCAGAAATGCGCGGTTAAAATCACTATCCATGAAAACCGAACGCTGGCTAAATGATCATGAAAAGAAGTAGGATGAGGGTAAGTAGGGTCGCAGCCATTCTGTCGCCGCTTCCGTGATGCATCGCTGCTGGATGCTCTGCAACAAACGGAAATTTACGATGTGATGTAAAAAACACTATTTTTCCTTTCCATTGCATTGTAACGAATTACACCGATAAGATAACGTTAGTAGCGAGACTGTCGAGAGGAGAGATCAGAATGAATCTCGTTTCTTGACACTTTTTTTCTCTTATATTATATTCGATGGATAAGGAAATATAGGTTAAGTTAGAGTTAAATAACAATCATTTTTCGTTATTTTATATAAATATTTTTCATATATTCGTGCTCAATGAACAAAAAAATCGATATAAATCATTGTTCTCCGAACAAATGAAAAATTATCGAAAAAGTTTCTTAAATCGAAAAAAAATAACGTGACAGAAAATCGAGTGATTTGCTACGTGAATTCTGAGAGAAACAAATTTAATTTTGCCGCGGAAAAACTGTTTAAATTGGTAGAAGAAATCGGCGTTTTAAAAAGTTGAAAACAATCGTTCGACATCGGCATCGTTATGTTTCAAGCAATTAAACTTAATTGTACGGGCGAGCGTCGTCCTCTAATACGTTCGAGCGATGCGTAAATGAAATTTCTGAAACTTGCGAAACTGTTTGGAACGCGGCGCGTTTACTCGCGGCAAACTCTTCCGCCCGAAGTTTGTTCGGGATGTCGCGCGAAAGGGGGCCAACTTGTACGCGACCGAAG